TAATTTAGAGGCTGTTTAGTCTCAAAGTATCGGATTCATTGGTAACAGCCTAATGTTACCACAATCATTGAATTAATTTTCATTTTTTCATTTATGAATATTAAATGCGTGTTGGTTTCTTTTGGTTAAAATAAGGCACACATTTTCTACAAGTGGGATTAATCAATCATTTATTAAGTCATCCAAGCTTCCGTTACCAACATCGACTTCACCATCATCATCTCCATTGTCTCCTTCGTTGTTACCGTCTCATTATAAGTATCCATAATAATAATAATAATAAAAATACAGTAATTACGACCATTATAAGCATCGCTATTTTCTCATTATTTTTTGAAATACCTCCTTTACTTTATCGTAATCATAACTAAGTGATGATTTCTTGCCCTTTGATGTATCATTCTTGCGTAGCAATCTTCCAGAAAAATATCTCCGAATCGCTAAATGGCTTTTCTTTCATTGGCTTAGCTCTTTCGGATCATCGTAAACCTGCACGTCCTGCCAAAATCAAGTAGTGTAGGGAAAAGATTAATTTTTCCTCGCTCGGGTTACCCGATTTCAACTGTCATAAAAATCGTTGCCTGTCTTTACCATACAAGCAGAGCTATCAAAGCCTTTAGTTTTGGAGGCTATCCAGGGCCCCTGAGCAAATTTCTCGAGTCCATGCAATGAAATAGCTCTCTAAACGCAGATAACTGATTTGGATTTAACTTTTACAACTTAATTCGCTACAGCATCGTTGCTTACATACACATACCCGTCACTGGGACTCTAAATATATCATGAAAAATAAAGTTTGAACCTATCGTTCCGATCCCCCCACCTCGCAAATGGATCCGTCGCCTGCCTGTCATAATCCTTTTTCTCCCCCATGGACACTGTTTAATACGTTTCTTTACTCGCAATTCGGATCAAAGGCATCATTCAGTAAGTCGCAGAGGGTAGAGAACTATATGGTTTTAGACTTATGCCCTATCAACTGATTAATTTTGTATCGTTTGAAGTAAATTGCGTCTCGCCAAAATCTTTCGTAAGTTTCATACCTTAAGAAGTGAATATTAAAATTAACTGAATTTAGAAGCGTATTGACGGAACAGTAAACAAAGGTAAGTTTTGTGACCGTATGAATTATATACATGCATTTGACATTCCCTTATCTTCGATCATTTACTCTGTATAGCTTGGTTATATCAAAGTGACTCTGATATAATCATGTTATATGAAGTGACACTATTTAACATCTTTTTTCCCTTCTGAATTATGGCAATGTTCTGTTCTACCTGTCAATGAACAAATAGGCCCCCAAACGAAAACGCGAGCCACCGTGCTCGGACGAGCGCGGACGAGATTATATCGATCTGCTAGCAGCTGATGCGTGACTGTTGTGTCACTTTGCAATGTGCTTCTGAAAATTGTTATTAGATATAGATACTCATAGTTTTTTTAAGAGACCGGTGCCAAGCTGGTATGTGATCGAAAATTGTAGTTCTTAGTCGACGATACCAGTTTAATTTTTTTTTGTCATATATATTTCATAGTATAGATAATGGTATTGAATCGGGACCTTTGTGACCACGCTCATTTTCGTGAACGACAAACGTGTTTACGTCTTACACAGTCACGAGACGTGCAACTCGTCACCCTGGTAGAATGCTGTTAGACATAGGACTAAGGGAACTCATTCACTTATTCGTCATAATATAGCTGACATTTATGCGATACTTCTTCATGCACGCCAGTTCGATCAGTCCATGTCCAACCTCTAATAAATTTTCATGGACATTAGAGAAAGTACCTTGTTAATCGACAGCGCTGTATCTTAAACGCATAACACTGAAGGTAAAACTTGTGTTTGTTTAGAATGTCTGTTGTTTTATCGAAGCATCCTATTAGTCTGTGTTATAATGAGGTTTTCGCACGATGATCAATCTTACAACGTTTGTTAGCCTCTATTAAAAATTCCATAAAAAGTTTATCGATGCCTAGGATCAAGCACGCGATAAATAGAAAACTGGCTCTTGGTACCGGCCTCGCTACCGCCTCAGCAATCACCGGGGGACACTTTGACGGATATCTCTCTAAAAGAAGAAAAAAAACTTGCACAGCAACGTTCGTACGCAAGGCATAAATCTATTGCATGCGGTTTTTAAGAGAACAAAGTTAAAAAAACGCTAAATGAGAGAGTAACCTGATTACGAACACGGCCTGAGACCTTCTCAAATTGTTGAAAGTCTGAAGGGGGCAAAGAAAGTCCATTGGACAAGAAAAAGATGGTTGAATATTGACTACGCTAGCCAAAGAAACACATGTATGGGTTGCGTGGCTGTGAATCGTCCTCACCCTGTCCTAAAAGTAATTGTAGAGCGTCGTGTTCTCCTTGGTCGTAACTGAGGGTAGCCGTATAAAATGTAACTATTTATAGGGCATCAGCTGGTGTCCCACTTCTTGAAGTTGCGCCAAATAAATTGAAAACCAAGCTGTATTGCGTCATTCTCGTTCCCTGTTTGAAAGCTACAATCTTCCTGTGCGGTTAAAGTTGCAACGGCCATCACACTACATAGTGTGTCAAATTCTTAGCTAACACGAGGCCTTATGACTGGTTGTGAGGGTGATATGTCTATCCCGCAGGTGATGGATGAGTATGTTTGTCTCATAGGGTTGTCGTTCATTACGGCTTTTGATAAAATTTGACTATCGTATGCAATAATCCTTTCTGGGTCGTCCTTGGGCTTCACTGTTGCACCCAAATATCAGTTTCAAGACTTTGTAGTAAAACTGGATTAGGGAAAACGAGACATTTACTAGGGAAATCACGCTGGTCTTGCATCAAGTAAATGGAGTGCAATCTTTCAACAGATCATTCATCAGAGCGCTGCTATCTTTGTAATGTTGAGGATAAATTACTAGGAATAACCACGAACACCCAATTATATTACCGGTTTTGATTTGTAGTCACTGGAAATCTGTTGATCGCGTCAACGTTCTAAAAACTTGGACGATGAATGCAGCGTCTAAATCGTTTATGGCGCATGATGCGCGATTTAGCGGCTCCAAAAGGTACCTTTGTTCATTCGTTCGACTTGAAGGCTAAATGGCATTATACTTAATCTAATGCCCCCGCTCAACATGCACGGAAAACAATTAGGTTAACCCGGTGAGGTACTTTGGTGTATCGTCGATTAACCATTCGTGTGTATCTTTCGTGGTTTTCGTGTTCAGCTCACGGTGATCCACGCGTGATCGATGTTTGCGCTTTTATCTTTAACCAAAATAAGCACACTGCAGAGGGGCCTGGTAACGACCCGACGGTTTGTCGCGCGGAACAAATGATGCCCTATCGTTCTGTTGCACAGATCCCTTTCTGAAGCAACTGCTTTTCAATGGTAACACATAGTTCGTTAGCGTGTGTTGTCATTTGTGGTGCAGCTCCGTACTCAACCCCACGTGCGCAAAACGATTTGTGCGGCGCAACGCTCCTCCGTTCTTCGGGGTCTGGCGTTATTTGTTGTGCGACAGGTTACTACGTTTACAGATAACTATGCCACCTCATAGTACCATTTCTGTAGTCGATCTAAGATATTCGCTTACCGGATTCGTATACCCTGAATGCGGTTTCTACCGACAGAAACTTTTGATTGTTTGGCCTACGTGCCGTAACGTTTTTTGACACCAAAAACATATTGGATCCTACTTGAGTGAGGGGTGATCTTTAAGCGACAGTGATGCTTTCTACTAGAATGACCCCTAGTGACGAATGGTTTTCAGCTCAAAACTATTTGTGTATTTACCTTAAAAATCAACAAGTTACTCTGTTATCGGCACACGGAGCGGACTGAGTTGCTGGATCGTAATAATGAATTCCTAAAGGAATTTTTATATATGTCTGTTATAGTCCTGTAAGTGAGCCAAAGGCCTACCTCTAAAATGATTCTGTCTCTAAGATTGTTACTGATAACAAACATAAACAGCCAGTCGGATTCTAAACTTAAGTGTACAACCCGGCTGGTTAGTGAAAAAAACGAGACAAACGTTGTTGAGTCGCAAAAAAGTGCTGCTAACATTTGATGTCTTATTATTATTATTATATCTATCTATTAACGCAGCCGTTTGTTGATGATCTGCGAGGTCAACCAATATACAGTCGTATTGAAAGAGCTCTTACAAAGTTTAAAGACAAGAGTTCGTGTCGTTTGCAGAGCACCTTGATTCCGATCCGAGTGTCTGACTCCCGATGCATAGCAAGCGATAGCGTGTACGCACACTTATGCCAATGCATCGCTATTAAACAGTTCACCCGACGATCTGTGCGTTCGTTTTTACTAGCTTCCGGCATCCACTCAATTAACAAAGGGCTACAATGTCGCAGTATACGGTCGCTATCCATTAGGAACGGCCTATTATCCTGTATCCAGCAACGGAATCCGAGGCTTTGGCCTTGAATGTTGACTACGAGACCGGTCATGGTAAAAGCAGTGTATGGGCAAATGTTCAAGATAACTCTCAGAAAACCGCCTGCCTCTATTGTTGACCGTGGGAGGCTGTAATCTATAATTTAGATCCCAGCAAGTCGCTCGCTGAACGGCTGCTACGTGCCACGGGCGCATCTGCGGCGAACCTACGGCGCATACGGTAGGTTTGATCGAAACCCGTTGAGTCATACTCGGCCCCAGCAGACCATAGCAAAACACGAATATGACAAAACCTAGGAGCACTGAAGACGTGATACTGTTCTCCAACGAATCACATGTTGCAGCGATTTCAACCTGGAGTTCCGGTAGACTCGACGCTGTAGAGTAACTACAGGCCTGCGAGTGAGTTTCCCTGTCAAAGCGGACACAATTTTTTAGCCTAGTTAAATCAAGATGGAAAGTGATCCGTATCTCCACTAACTGTTAAGTACTCAGCCATACGAGCTTACGCGAGGGACTGCTAAGACGGGTGACTGAGATTTTCCGTAAACTCTATACGTCTAGTAGTAAAGACATAAGTTTAATACCCAATTCAGTTGAATCCGAAACAACGATACGCAAGATCGTCGTTGGCCACATTTATTAGATACATACAATATCTATTTGTTTTCAATCACTCACTGAATTTCTGTATCATAGTAGTATGTTATTTGTGTAGCAATAGCCGCTACAACTTTACGCTGTAATTGAAACAAAGAGTCGGTGTCCAACAACTTTTCCGCTTCCTAAACTCTAACTATGGCTATTTACTTTTTTTTATCCGAGCACAAGTAACGCCTTTATGCAATGTCGCTCAGTTGTCTTATTTAAGCGTGGGCTGACGGGATCGTGTTGACAACAGCGGCTGATAAGTGATTGTATATGGAGTAAACTGTGCGGCGCGTTTGTGAGAGTACTTTGTGCGATTGTTAATATTCGATACAAAAAAAAAATAATTCATTCCTAAGCAAGCTTCCCGAGTTCGGGCAACTAGATATTTCCCCCAAAGCATCATTAACCTAGATTGAACATTGTAATTGCCCCTTGATCTTTTACAGCGTCACACTAGTTGCTCTAACTTATGATTTTTTTCGCTAGAATGTAGTGTAAAATGAAAACCATTCACGTAGATAATTCTATTGCTTCCTCGCAGTATCGCCCACTTATCATAGCTCTCCTTCGGTCCTATATGCGTTAGTCGATCCATCGCAACTTCAAGCATAAGTTTTGGGGTATAGGAAAGTATGCGATCTCAATCGCCTGGTTCCAAGACCAATGTTGGTGTCAATCAGTTGATTTCCAATCGTTTTATGGCTCTTCGAACTCAAAGTGCGTACCTTCGTTCACAAATTCGCTGCCTGGTCACGAGTACCGAATACCCAATACCCCCTTTCCCCCGGATCATGAAGCCGTAACCGTTCCGAACATACGAGGCTGGCGATGATGGGTCAATTGATCTCGGTACTTTTGAGACACACGTTGAACACTGTTACAGCTCTGTCAAAAGTCCAGAGTATTACAGCCGTTACAAATGATATCGGTAAGCTTCCTTTGCATACCTTTCTTCAAATATACTTTTTAAAAGCGATTATCATCGTGATACTTATCACCGTTATAATATTGTATGTGATCCTCGATATTACTGTCAAGTTAATGCTTTCTTGTTTGATCATCACATGACGAGAGATACGGCTGAGTTTGTCAAACGACGGGCGACTATCAAAATAATTCTCCGGCGTATCACCGCCGCCGCCGCAGCAGCAACAACTGCTAAATCATCTAAGAAACCTTTCACGTTCCCTCACGTCAGTCTTCAGCTGTAATTAACAATCTGCCTTTTGCAGTTAACTCAGGAGAAGCTTCAGAAGTCACCCGTCACAAATAGCTTTGGAGCCTAAAATACAGTTTGTAGAGTTCATATCGCTGCTCCCATTTCTGACCGAATGGAAACAGCCTGAGACATTCGCTACTGGTTCGTCATCGTCGGCTTACATACATGCTCTCATTTCTGCGAAATAGTATAAATCAATAAGTTAGAATATTCCATAGATTCGAGACAATTATTATTACAGATATAGTTCATTTCCATAATATAATTAGTCTTTATTTGATGGTGATGCGGTATTAATGGGGCAAATAACGGCGGTACTAGAATAGTACAGGACCTGACTAATGACAAGAAGAAAGTCAGTTTGAATTTGGCGCCACGATCCTGCGTCTGTCACTCGCCTGTCGTCAGCTGTCAACACGGGGTTAACATATTATCATTCGCATTCATGCGTTGGCAGGAAACGACGGATCGAAGGGGGACACCAATTAACGGCTAGTGTTATAAAACTGTTTAAAATACACACGATGCCCAGACATTAATTTACTAAGAGAGGCGCAAAAACTGGCTTCTTTTGCTACCCTTCTAGCCTAGGCGTGGGTTAGGCCATAGCTCTAAAACTCCTCGCCAGCTGTGCCTTTACGTGCTCATCAAGGACAAACTTTGTCGTCCCTTTGAAATAAACGTATTCTGTTTTCTATTTTTTGCTTCATTGTCTTTGAGGAAGCCCCTCAGTCATAACTCACAAATCTGTGGACTGTTACAACAAAGCGTACATGGACGCGCCTTAGGCGAAACTCAGATCACTCTCTACTCACTGGGCGTTGTATCCGCTTGAATTTTCCCGTCCTCCGAATACTTTCATCGCGGTCTGCTTTTGGCGTTCGTAGACGAAACTGTGTTCGTCAAGGTGTCTATGACACAACGCCACACACCTATATCACGCTCCACACATTTCGTCTCGCATGATTTGCTATTCTAGTCAGTAAATTAATATTATATATAGCACTTATCTTAGTAGAAACGCTACTCATTGAGGCATGAGCAAGGCAGTTACAAATCCGCTTAAGTTTTGGCGTTGTTTATCGTCAACGGGAAACGACCAGAAAGCTACAAATTGCTTTTTTAACGATCAAATAGCTAAAAAAAGGTGATGCAATGTAAGGACACCATTTCGTATTTTCTTGCCGTCTTCTTTATATATATATATATATATATATATATATATATATATGATCTCTTCTCAATCTTGTATGTGTGACGGCACTATTTCGTTTCGACTGGAAAAGTTGTATTGTCTGTCATGTCTCTCGTAACCAACGACTTCGCACACTTCCGTACTGGTGCCTCTATGTCAGTCGACCATATTACCACCGTGATGATACCTGCATGAATATAGGGTTATAACGTTTCATGTAGAGAAGTAACGCCCATAGGCGCGGTGGGAAAATACCACCCGCTCTAAATATTGTACAGTGTAAATAATGACTGTATGTTTGTCTGTCAGCACCAGAGCAGCGTACCCACAACGTGACCTGCCCTTAACAGAAGCCTTCTTGACCTTTTTATCTTACTAGCTGTAATAGTAGTGCGGGGTTGTTTGCACTTGGTCAACAAGGCTTCTGCCTTAACCCCGGAAATCCGAACAACTCCTTGGGCAGGGTCTCTAATTATCAGTTATTTATACAATATGCTTTCTGTTTCAATATTTCTTTCACCACATAGTTATTTACGTTCAACAATAAATTTCTGTTCCCACCTGCTCTGCGAAATCTTGGCAACGAAAAACACATCAGATGGGGGCAACACCATGTCCGCCACCCAGCCAGAATTGAAATCTGGCCTAATAAACAAGAGGGGTGAGGAACTATTGCGAAGTAAAAAGGTCTCGAGCACATATATATTAGGACGTAATCATTAAACAAAGGGCACGTACGCGTTTTTTTTTTACACAAACCAAACATAGAAAATTTGTCTACAATCGGTACTTATTTGTGAAGAACGATCTTAACTACATAGACTATTTATATATGAACAGAGTCGACTATCTTAATAATCATAAAAAATCTAGATCAAACTTACCGAAAAACAAAGTTTTTTCTCTTTTTCCATAAAATAAAACTTATCAAATCAGTCTGTCTAGACGTAATAGAGCGAAACAGAAATTATAAGGAACTTCTATTTAATATAAATATTGCTCACACACACAACTGAAAGTCGGCGATCGAACATTAACCTCATCATCTAGGCATCTTCCCACTGAATGAATCGAATTAAATACAACAACGCTTAAAGGTTCGCTTTAGCATCCTTTGTTGCACCGTTTCCCTTTATATCTCTTATAAATAAACTTGACTTCTATCTGTTATTTTGTGTGGCATGTGCAAACGGCCAAAAAAGCAAACAATTGGCCATATTTCTTTTTTAGTTGACGCTTTTGGTTGTGTGAACCC